GACGGCTGTAACGGTCGTAACGGTGTCGTAACAACCGTAACGGCTTGTTACGTATCGTTACGTAACGGTTCCAAACTCTTCTTTCAAAAAAACACAAAAAAAAAAAAAAAAAAAACTGAAAATGGGAAAAGAGGGATAGAGAAAGAAGAGGGAAGATGGAAGAGCAAGAGATAGAGAGAGAAAAGAGAGAAGATGTTGAACATGTTATTGATTTGTTGAAATTATAAGACCTATACTATTCTATTCAGCTGCTATCACTTAACCATTTTGTTTGTGTGTATCTATCTATATATTGTTTGATAATAATAATATTAATAAGTGTAGTCATTATCTATTTGGCTTGACTAAAATATGTATATATATATATATATATTCAGGCTCTTATTTATTCTCTTACTTTTGTCACTGTTTATTTTATATATAATAGTTAGTGATTGATTTTTTGTATAATATAAAGTCATTAATTATTAAAATAAAATGTAAAAAACTCAGTTTATAGTAACTTAAAAATATGAAATATATTGGACCATACTTAAAATTTTACAAAAATTGATCCATATTTATTTTAAAATCCAATAAATATGATCATGGAAAAAAAAAATATGCGTATCGGTAGCTTTTTTTCAAATTATGCGAAAAATAAAAAAATTAACGGTTCCGGTTACCGCAACCGTTACACTACGACCTTTACACCCCGCAACAGCAACCGCACCACTGCCACCGTTACAGCGACTGCAACCGCTTTTCAGAACCTTGCCTATAATATATCCTTTTAAAGGAAAGATATATTAGAATTTCCCTATCTTTCTTCCACTTTGAAATGCAAGAAAATTAGGCAAAACAAGTGGTAGAGCACATGGACGAGTGAGGCACACGTCACCATTATAACTATTGCTGCCTGAATTCTGAAAAAATCCACTGAAGTAACATTTGTTTATCGATGTGATGTGGCAGGCTCAACGCATGTTGGCAAAACTAGATATTTACAGGAAGTTTACTAATGCTTTGGCAGTAACTATTATTGTGTCCGTAGGTTGGATATGCTATGAGGTAATTTTTCTTGTCTGGGAAATAAGGCTTAATTAATCTTTGAATGTGTTAAGAAATGTCAAGTGTTTAACATGAACCACTATAGGATAGTGGAAAGCACAAAAGGTCTGTTAAAAACCATCCTCTGCGATGAAAAAGTCTCAATAACATAGCGTCTGGCTGAGACCAAACAAAATTATTAGCATTTGAACCATGTAGAATGCAAGAATGAGGGCCAAGATGAAAATCCCTGTGGAGAAAAAAATGGTTTAAAGGCCTGCTATTATCTGCTTCTTTGTTAAAATTTGTTGCAATTGGTAGTCAATTTCTTTGTTAAAATTTGTTGCAATTGGCAGACAATTTCTTTCATTTAAAGCAGATAATTGGCACTCTATAATGACCATTATCATTCATACAATGTCCATGTGTATCTGGCAATTATAATTCACCATTCTTTTACCATCATCGTTCAATTACAACTTGTTTGGACGAGAGAAGCAAGTGAAAATTACATGTGGCGGCTATATGTTATAAAAAATTAATTGTCAATTATTTTCTTGTCTCCACATTGAATATTTTCACATGTGGCAGCTATACTTACTCGGGAGAAGCAAGTGAAGAGTTTGACAGGGATGATAATACTTTGACACTCATAAAACCATCTCCTATGCCTTCAAAGGATATTCGAAGTCAACTTGAAGTCGGATCAGTACACGGTGGAAAAACGGGGTATCGAACGGTGATTTGGAAGAAGACAGGACAGAATAATTTAAAACCCAACTATGTTTGATTGTGAGAAGCTATTTTAACTTCGAATGATCATCATGATGGATATGAAGTTGCTACATGTAGAATTTATGTGAGAGGAGAGGGAAAAAGCCATTAGAGGGAATATGATGAAGCTTTTTTTATTTGTTCTTGTTCTTTTACTTTTTTCCCCCCTCTAATTCTTTTTATCTTGTTTAATTAATGTATCATCTGTTGCACATAGTTTAGGCTCATCTTTGGATATAGTTGGAAGACAAGTGGTATTTTTAATATTATAAACCATATTAGTGTGCTTTCTATTCCTTTTTAATTTTTTTGGGCAAATTACACTTCTTGACCATTTTGATTTTAATTGATGTATTAAAGTCTGAACATGAATTGTTTCTATTCTTAGGTGTGCAATGCATTGTTTCTTATTTTTAATTTTGTTTTCAAGCTTAGTTTATTTATTATTTTAATAAACATCAATTATTAGTTCTTAATAATTGTTTGACAGGTATTTTTTTTGTTCAACCGTATAAAATTAGCACAATTTAAAAATAAAAAAAGGTTATGGCAGCGTTTAAAAAACGTCACTATATCCCACCCCAACGGTTAGATTTTTAAAAGGTATAAATGTCTATGATGGCATTTTTAAAAACGTCGCTAAATGCCATAGTGACGTCATAGTATCGTTAGTAGGACATTTGGTGGCGTTTTTAAAAACGCCGCCTATACTAATATAACGACGTTTCTCAAACGCCATAAAGCTATAGCGACAGCCGCATCGTCGGCGTTTGATACTAAACGTCACAAAAAAATTAGCGACGTTTTTAGTACTTTTAGCGGCGTAGCTAAAAGTAGATTTTCCAGCAGTGATTGTACCAATTGACTGAGCCATGGTGTGACTATCATTTTGGAATAAAAAAATATAAAAATATAAAATAAACTATAAAATTAATAAAATAAAATATCACATCTAATTTATAATTATTATATTTTTTTTTACAAAAATCAAAAAAAATTAAAAAATCCAAACCAAACTAGACTAGAAAAATTAGACTAAAAAAGTCTCAATATAAAAAAGTTAACTATATCAACCAATGTCAAACGAAACTTAAATTTAACATGAGTTACACAAACGGGGAATTATACACAAATAAACAAATTAAATTTAACAAATTTGATAAGAAAATTATTAAATGTTTCGAATGTAATCATGTAACATAGTTTATATGATATTCTTATTAAATTAAATATCGCAATATATATTAAATGAATTATTTTTTATTTCTCAATTACTTGACTGATGAGAGTTAATCTATAAAAAAATTTTGCTACGTGATTAGTTTGTAATACCACATAAAGAATACTAAGGCACTATTTGACATCCTAAAAAAATATACTTTCTATTTTTTTTTAATTTTTTTGAGTTAGATCACTTCTTTTTTTTTTTTTTACATCTTTTTATAAAAAGTAAAAAAATATACTTATTTAAATCATTTTAAACAATCTCTTATATACTCTATGGTTGTTCTGGGATTGCAGAATAATTATTCTGTCCAGCGAATCTAATTTTCTGTAAAAAAACAAAAAAAAAACTTATTTACTCACATATATTTTGTATCTAATATAATCATTTTATATGTTTGAAGGCTTATAGACAAGCCATTGATCCTTAATTGGAGGATTTGGAAAGGGAAAGGGAAAAGGTGTGTGAAACTAGGTGAAATATAGACATGTTTTATTCACAATTCACCTACTTTTTCCATTTTGTTTTTCAAATCCCTCTCCAAATTCCCTAACCAAACACAACATTAATAAATTCTGTATTGTTTGCAAGAAGTACGTATACCAATCAAAATGCTTTCCACCTCGTACTTATCTAAATAAATTCTCTCCTAAATTATTGATGAGTTTTTCATCATGAGCTCAATATGCCCTTTTTTTTTCTTTCGGAAAAAAATACTAAATACTAGGACTTCAATATTCAATTTTCATCCTTTAAATTGATCATGGGGTACTTCATTGTCTTGTCTTGCATTATCAATTAGATGGTAGGATATTATTCTATTTTGTTTTTGTTTTTTCTTATAATTAATTTTCCCTCCAACACCACTAATAAATACAATTTTTTTATTTTATAACCTAGTGTTCAGACTAATTTACGCATAGCTTGACTAATTTTGAGGAACCAATCCCACCGCCCACTTACAAGAACACCATTTAAAATTAGAGCAAACGCTTTGGATAGACTGGCCCGAAAAAAATTATTGGAACTAGTAAAATTATTGGAACTAGAATCTGAGATCTAAATAGAGCACATCCGCAGCCCCAAGTTATGCCCACTAGACCAACCTTAAGGTTCTTAACAATTAAAGTAGATGGTTTTTACAGAGGTGAAATTGAAGACAATTTGCAACTTTTGGCCTTCTCTTTGGTAGGTTTTTTATTTTTAATTTTTTTCAAAAGATAATTTTTTGTCCATTGGTATGAGATAATTCAAAAATATCATGAGATTTACATGGACTGAACATTTAATTATATAATTATTAAAAGATAATACATCTTTTTTTAGGATAGTTGAATTAGGACATGTTAGAAAGTTGTCTCCATAATAATATTACTTACTCTTTTTTATATATTTTTACTTCTAATTCATTACCTTATTAGTTGGGTTCATTTCTTCTTCTGTTTTTATTTTTATTTTTATTTTCTTTTGTCTCCTAGTTTGCCAAACAGACCATTGCATTGTGTTGAAAGTTTCGATAATAAGATTAAGATAGCTAGCATTAATTTACATGTTCGTATTGTACTCCAATATCTATATTTGTACAAGCATAGCACAATTTTTATTTATTTATTTAATTTTTGTCATAATTTAGTATTTAACAATTTTAGAACAAATGACCTTTTTGATTTTTGTTTTTTTCATTTGAGTTCTCATAAAATTATTTAGTGTTGTTAGTGGCACTGACGTAACAATATCATGAACACATCTTAGTCCTTAGTTTAGTTTTTGTGAGATCCACGTAAAACCCACATGAGTCCCAGACAAAGCACGATGTGTTTATGTTATCACCCCAAGCGACACCAAATTATTACAATTTTTGTAATAGAAGACATAATTAGTGTTGTTATTTGAAACAAAAACAGCCAATATGCCAATGAGCTAGAAGGGTGTTGTTTGATCTCTCTATGAGGAAACTAAAAACCACAACACATTGTAAGAAAACTGAAAGATCAAACTTTATCAGCGAACGGTTTCATACAAGGCCATCAAGCACTTCAACAAAGACAAGAAACACAAATTTCTGTTATAATATCTGGTAAAATAGATACAAAGATGACTGTTGAAACATTCTGGGTCACTCACTGCCCTAGTTGTATCCATCCAAGTGTACATACTTAAATCAGTAATCATTTCCCTGAATTTGACAACATTAGTTATATTAGTTATGTTGCGGAAGTACTTCAAAAGCCAACTGAACATCACCTAACAAGAATCCTGGTATGTTAAGAGAATGTTTGGCTGTCCAGAATCCGAGAAACACTCATTCTCCACCATGCCCTCTCTGATGAGCTCTTCCACCCCTCTCGTGTCTCTTTGCAGCAACATTGCATTCTGATTCTGTCAACATTCCATAGGTGATCCGGATACACCCACTTGTGCCGCACGCAAATCCTGGAAGCAGCAGCACACCATGTCTCCGTGCAAACCAGCAAACAACTTCAAAGAGGTGAAAGGGCCTCACCAAGGAGTTCTTTGTTTCTGGCAAGGCTTTTGACTTGACTTCTGACCCATTCACGTCCTGCTTCTAAGCAATTGAGAGCCATGTGTTGTGAAATCATCAAAGTGCAAATAGCAACATTATCTTGAACCTTGAGAAGCTGCGTTCAAAGGCCCTCTGCCCTGGATGAGTAAGCTATCTGTGTGAAACAAAGCAGAACTATTTGACTTTTCTTCTAAAAAGAGTGTGATATTTGTTATGTAAAGTTCAAAGACAATTTTTCAATTGAAAGTACAGGGCCCAAACAAACATACAGAAGGAAATAAAAGGAGGACAAAATTAGGAGTTGCAGTTTGAATTGAGAAAGAACACATCTTCTGTTACATGTGAAAAAAAAACAAAACAAAACAAAAAAACGAACAATTTTTAGTGAGCAGCAGCGCTATGAACACAGAAGATTTTTACATAATGGGACCTGTCCTTCGTTTCACATCTGGGTCCTATTCTGTGAAAATCATCTGTGCACTTAGATTTACTCTTTAACGAGTGATATATATCTATTGAATAATGTTAGGAACAATAACCAGAAAGAGCATGCAATGGTTGAGACACATTTCAAAGCTGGATCGCATTATACAATATTGAATCTACACAATCCACTGTCATTCTGGGTAAATTTCCTGAACTGTTTTTCTGGATCCACAGCTTTTCTGTAATGATAATGGTATAATTCCTCGATAGAGGTGAAAACTGAATGATTAATTTCTCAAGAGAAATGGGACTGTTTGTATAAAAGTATTGGAATTGAAAGCTCTACTTACATATCCAACTCGCCATCCCATCATGCCGTATGCTTTTGAGAAAGAAAAAAGATTAATTACATGATTCCCTTCCACACACGAATGCTTAAAATCATCATATACAAAGTACCTACAGGCCAAAGATGAAAATGATCACAGTGCACAATCATTCAGCTCAAGCATTGATGCATATTATTTAAATCTATGACGCACAGACACCTTTCCAAAGGTGATGTACAGGTGTCCAACACGTGTCGGACACGCTGTAGAAAGTTAGACACGCTACAACACTTGGGACACGTTGGGACATGCTGAGAATACATTGGGGACACGCTGAGGACCATTTTTCTCAAAAAAAGTAAAATTTTTTACTAAAGCACACTTAAGATTAATAAATTTGATAAAATTAAATATGTGACATAAAATAAATATTAAATATTTAAAAATATAGCATAATAAATATATAAAATTATATGTTTTGCATATGTCTCCAACGTGTTGTGTCGTGTCCTGCATTTTTTAAAATTTTACATGTCTGCGTGTCCGTGTCATGTCATGTATTTGTGTGCATACATTTTACGTTTAAATAATAATCTAGTTTAAATTTTATGGGCGTAATTTAGACTAGTAATTCACCCTGAGTAGTATGTTATTGTGGATCTAAGAATATACACTTTCTGTAAATTTGAGATGGTGAATTGTTGGACAACTGACCATAAGATGTTTGATGTTTGTTTGTATCATACATAATGAAGATTGTATTTATCACCCAACTTAGGATTTCTTTCAAAACTTTGGAAGGTTTTCTAAGAATCAGCAGGAGATAAAAATAATATATATTCATACAGATAGAAAATATAAATACATTAAAATTAATTTTTTTTTATCTCCATAATGTCCGTGTCCTAATTTTTAAAAATCTCTGTGTCCATGTCCGTACATCTTAGAGTTGGAAAAGTTTAACCAACATGGTGAACATCTTAGCCGCCAAATTGACCACTAACTCATGAGTTGGCATAATCTAGAGGCAAATGAACTCACTCGTATGCATTATCTATCACAAGCCAAGAACCAGCCCTTCCGCAGATTTCTGAAATTCTCTAAAAAAGACAAGCACAAACTAGTTACATTAAGGAAATTAAAAAGGGAGTTACAAATATTCCTCCAAAATCAACAATCTACATCAACTGAAAAGTGATACCCATCAGATGTGGATATGCCTGTTTGCATGTGCTGCTTGGGTGGTTCCCATGGTGTGTAACCATGCTCACCATGATACATGATATATGTATAACCCCCCCCTCAAACTCAAATAGGTGTGAAGAGAGAAACCTATTTGAGGTTAAAACAAAGGGAGCGAGAAAGCGGACCGTTGTAGAAGACACTGTATGAGTGTGTAGATAGGCTGCCCAAAAGATATACATGTAGATAGATATATCGAGCCCTCAAAAGTCGCGCCCTCAAAAGGCGCGCCCAATTTTTCAAAAGGCGTGCCATCAAAAGGCGTGCCCAATCCATAAAAAGGCGTGCCATCAAAAGGTGCGCCCATGTTGTCGTTGAGCGTCAAGTGGCGTGCGATGCGCGTGGCTGCCTTGGCTATAAGACGTAGGCTGAGGCTGAGGCGAAGACAAACAACTTGCGAAGAAAAACTTTTGAAAAAAAGTCTGCGTTTGCGGAGAGAGAAACTCTGTAACACTCTGTAACACTCGGTTGCCCAGAAAATGGCCTCGTCTTCCTCTTCTTCCCGTGGTCTGCTCACTCTCTTTCCCAACCTCAACGAGTCAACAAGAGAGATAACTGGTGCGGTGGCCCGTGAACCTCAACCAAACACCACTGGTTTTGCTCCGTTGAACTTTCCGATGCGGTCTGTGGAGCAAAAAATGGCGGTGCAAACTGATATTGAGGCCAATCAGTATACTTTGAAGTCATGTGTGGAGACCATGACGGCGGCCACAAACTTGTCGCACCGGCTGCAGAGTAGGACAAATGAGGTGCAGCAGTTAAACGCCTAGCTGGCTCTGCTCCAGCGCATGTATAAGGATGCGCGAGCAGAAATAAGTGTGTTAAAGGCGGAAAACAAGGAGCTGAAGCGGAAGGCCACTGTGATGTTCCGATTTGGAGGGCCACCATATGCTGTAGTGGAGGAGCAGGAGGGAGTGAACGTGCTCGACGGTGTGGGAAACACAGAGGCAACACCGGCAAGGGCCGCCCAGGACGAAGGCAAGAAGAAAAGACCGGCGGAAGAGGCGAAGAAGTGAGGTCGGTGGATGGCCGTCTGCAGAAAAGAAAACAAATCTGTTGTTTGTGCTGCAGTGGAGGAGTATGGGGGAGTGAACGTGCTCGGCGGCGTGGAAAACACGGAGGCAGCACCGTCAAGGGCCGCTCAGGACGAAGGCAAAAAGAAAAGACCGGCGGAAGAGGTGAAGAAGTGAGGTCGGTGGATGGCCGTCTGCAGAAAAGAAAACAAATCTGTTGTTTGTGGGTGTTGGATTTGTTTTGTTTTGTTGTGTTTTTTTGTTTTGTTTTGTTTTGTTTTGTTTTTTTTTTTTGTGTATGTAAAATTGTGATCGGGATTGAGCCCGGCATGAAGAAATGACAAGTTTGTGGAATGAAAAACGAGTTGGTGAATGTTTTGTTTTTGTTTTTTTTTTTGGTGTGAAGAATAATAAGAATAATAAAAATAATAATAATAAAAATGGATTAATGGGGAAAGCATGTGCGCTGGTGGGTGGAATAAATGAAGGCAAATGATGAATATGATTAAAGTGGGTCTGGTGGAGAGAAAAAGGAACCAGAGAGAGAGGTAGTGGGGTGATTAAAAAGTGCATGTGGGAGACCACGGGAAGTGAGTGGTGTGGGTCTGTGTCGTGCTGTCTGTATTGGGGTGTGAATGTATGGTGTGTACCTGGGTGTGTTGTGTAGCTCCAAGGGTGTGTGTTTGTCAGTGTGTATGTGGGCTGTGTCTATGGAGAGAGCCGAGAGGGAGAAGGAGCTCAGTCTGTGTGTGAGAGCTGGTGTGTGTTTGTGAATGATCAATGTCTATGCCGTGAGTCAGTGTGTTATAGAGAGAGAAGAGAAAGAGCCAGTGCATGTGTTGTCCATAGAGAGAGCCAAGAGAGAGCTCATGGCCGTGGGTGTATGGGTCTGTGAGGTGCCGAAAGAGAGAGAGGAAGAGGGTTTGAATGGGTGGCCCCCTCAAAGAGAGAGAGAAACCCGTGTGCGTTGTAGAGAGAGAGAGTGAGAGAATAGAATGTCCTCCCAAAAATGCATGGCCGAGAGACCCAACACACAGACACCCCGCAGAGAGAGAGTGACAGTGCCCGAGAGCAGATGCATGTGTGTATGTGTGTCAGCTCTTCATCACCGAACTAGTGCAGGCCAGAGAGAGAGAGACCAGGTGCTGAGAGAGATCATGCATCGCTGGTGTGTGTGAGCTGGGCTGTGGTCTGTGTGAATCATGTGCAGGTGTATGCCTGGTGTATCGGCTGTGTGTGCGTGTGGTATGTTTATCAGTGTGTGCAGATGGAGTTCAATGGGATCTCTGGGTGTTGGATTAGTGTAAGGTTCGGCCTGAGAAGAACATGAAGCAGCCAAGGTGAGTGAGGCTATCGGTGATGATGGCCCGGTTGTGGAGTTGCAGTGGTGGTGGCTTGACAGTGGAGTAGTTGGTGGTGCTGCTGGTGGTGAAGTGTTGTTGAAGAATCTGCCATTGAAGAAGAAATTAGGAAAATTTGGGTTTGTCCGGCGGGCGGCCAAGGCGAGATTGCCGCCCGTCGGTGGAACGAAAATACTAGGTTCTTAACCTAGCTCTGATACCATGTAAGAATAAATGTATAGGAAAAGAAAGAGAGAAACAATTATGTATATATTGATTTTTATTGATATCTGATTGTTATATTGTATGTACATTATATAGGAGATGTGGGTGGAGAGTGGAGTAGGTGTAGGTGTAGTGGAGTAGGTGAAGTAGGTGTAGGTGTAGTGGAGTAGGTGGAGTAGGTGGAGTAGGTAGGTTTACATTAACACCCTCAAAGGCGATGAGGGTGGTTCTAAGGAGGAGAAGTTACTGGTCTTGATGGTACGACACATGGGTTCAACTTTGGAGGTGACTTTGAGTACTAGGTTGGACAAGAAATTCAAGTTACATGAAGTTTTGAGTGTTCTCAAGGAAGAAGGACTTGAAGTTGTAAGTGCTAGTTACTCTACTGTGGGAAACCAAACCTTCTACACCATTCATGCACAGGTATATATATATAATTTATAAAGTTCTATAGTCCTAGAAAAATATCCGAAAAATACATTTTACGGTTAAGATTAATTATCCCACTATATAAAAAATAGATCTCAACCATGCATCAATTCTAAGTCAATTTCTGATCCATATTTTTGGATGCATAGACTCTCTCTTTCAAGTAAGAAAGTCTACTTATTGGCTTAGATTTGGGTCAACTGTATGGTTTATTTTTATTTGTTTTTTTAAAAGTTATATTTAATATATGGGAAGCAACTTCTCTCCCATATGTTGTTATAGCGATCCCGGTTTCCCTTTTCTTTACTTGTTATATACAGACTTAGGTTCCGTGGAGCTGGTTGTTGAGAGTATGTTGTTTGCACCCTTTAATCCTTATTTTGAGTCTTGGTTTGTGTTGGGAAGATTTGGAGCAGGTTGGTTGAGCTTAGGAACCAAGTCTAGTTGCCCAGATTTTGGCTTGTCTGCTCGAGCGGGGGTTTGGGCGCTCGAGCGGGGAATACACCCATCCAGTATGTCCTGTGTAGTGTTGGCCGCGAACCTCAATAAATTATATACAATGTAAACAAATGAACAAACACCACAACAAAACTCAAAGATCAAGTTGATTAGAACCAAAAGTAACTATATGAAACTTGATCTTCTAATTAACACATCAACAAACTCTGAAACTCTTTCAACTCTATGACAAAGAGACTCACACACAGGCATGCAGTGGCCTTCCAAATGGTGCAGGAATTTGGCGCGAGAGACGTCGAAAATGGAG